ATTTTTCCAAAGGCCGGGTATTGATTATGAGGAGATGTATTCTCCCGTGGTGGATGCAACAACTTTTCGCTATATACTACATCTGGCAACAAGTGAAAAATTAGAAATGCATCTTATGAATGTCGTGACTGCCTATTTATATGGCTCACTTGATAATGAGATTTACACATAAAAATCCCAAAAGGGTTTCAAATGCCTAAAGGGTTGAATCTTGGTTCTCGAGAACTTTACACAATAAAATTATGTAAATCTTTATAAGCTTAAGGAAAGCGGGGCGAATGTGGTAAAACTGTCTTGGTAGCTATTTGATTAAAGAGGGTTATTTGAATGACCTAATATGTCCATGTGTTTTCATCAAAAGATGTGAATCTGAGTTTCTAAACATTACCGTTTATGTTGATGATTTAAATATTATTGGGACTCCTGTAGAGCTCCATAAAGCTACAACTTATTTGAAAAAAGAGTTTGAGATGAAAGATCTTGGAAAGACCAAATTCTGTCCGGGGTTGCAAATTGAGCACATAGAGCATGGCATTTTCTTACATCAACCCACATATACTTCAAAAGTAATTAAAAGGTATTATATGAATAAAGCACATCCATTGAGCACTCCAATGGTGGTGAGAACACTTGATGGAGATAAAGACCCTTTTAGGCCTTGTGAAGAAGAAATTGATTATAGAATCCGATAAACAACAGTTGTAAATGTGATTCGATTAATGTTGAGGTAGGGTTTTGCTTTTCGAGGCCGAGATGAGTCAGTCGATTCAATGCAAAAAGGTAATTTTCTTGAAATTATGGATTGGTTTTCTGAGGTTAATGAAGATGTTAAAAGGGTTATGAACAATGCTCCAGGGAATGATAAATTGACTTCTCCAAAAAATCAATAAGACATTATCAATGCTTGTGCATTAGAGGTCAGAAAAGTTATTGTCGGTGAGATTGGAGATAAATTTTTTTTTCTCTTTTAGTTGATGAGTCTCGAGATAGTTCAATAAGAAAGCAGATGTCAGTGGTTTTGAGATTTGTGAATAATAATGGAGAAGTAATTGAGCGATTTCTAGGAGTGGTTCATGCCATTGATACTTATTCTCAATCCTTGAAAAATGCTACATATGAGCTTTTTTGTGAAAAATGGATTGTCACTTTCAATGCTAAGAGGACAAGGTTATGATGGAGCTTCTTATATGCGTGGTGAACTTAGTGGTCTCAAAACAAGGATTTTAAATGAAAATAAAAGTGCTCACGATATTCATTGTTTTGCTTATCAACTTCAATTAGTGATTGTAGCTACTTCAAAAGATCATGGATTAGTGAGTGGTTTTTTTTTATTATGTTGCTATGATTGTAAATATGGTTAGAGCTTCATGTAAGTGAAAGGATACTCTCCTGTAGAAACATTATAATGATATTGTGGAGCAAATAAAAAGTGGTGAAATAGCTACAGGAAAGGAAAAGAATCAAGTAACAAGTTTAGCTCGCCCTGGTGACACTAGATGGGGTTCGCACGTTAAAACAATAATGTGTCTTTTGCATATATGTGCGATGCAGTAAAATATTTGCTTGAAACTATATATAAGGATGCAACTGAAAGGAAAAACAAAGGCACTGCTGCAGATTTAGTTAAACAAATTGTGAGTTTTGAATATATTTTTATTGCTCACTTGATGGTTACGTTACTGGGAAAGACACATATAGTTTCAGAGGCCCTACATCAAAAGAATCAAAATATCGTCCATGCTTTGTCATTGCTTGGAAGGGTGAAGGATGGCTTGGAAAAATGTAGGGATTATGATGATGACTGAAAGGAATTGTGGAAAGTTACAACTACGTTTTGCTTGAAACATAACATTTTTGTGCCTAATATGGAAGATGCAATGCCTTGACGAGTGACATTCGAAAGGTTAGTCGATGGTGCACCAATGACCCATTTCCATTATTTTCGACGAGACATTTTCTTTGAGGTAATTGTTTCCTATTGTTTCATGTTTGAAAATACCCAATTATTTGTTTAAGCATGTATAATTCTTTTTGTTTACTTTGTTAGGTTCTTGATCTTATTGTTAAAGAGATGAATCATCGTTTTGCGGAGTCAAACTCTCAAATCATAATCTTGTAGAAATCCCTAAATCCCTAAAGTAATGCTTTATGATATGATAATTATCTACTCTGATAATAAAAAAGTAAAAGCACTATGACATGATAATTAAATATGATTTCAAATATAATTAATAATTATAAACTGGTGTTAAATCCCTATAAATTTTATAACGCATTTATTTTCAAAATTTCACTAAAATCCATAATCTATAGTATTATACTAAAAGAAAACTGAAGACAGAAATCAAAGATGATTTCTACGTTGCCACGTAATGCAAATCCTACGTAACATCTCTCAGAAATTGGTTTTAAACAAATTTTGAGGTTTACGACAATAGTCGCTACATGATAGTTTTCATATATGAAAATCCCAATAAACTATTATGAGAAATTTTGATTAAATTAATGCCAAAAACCCCACAATAAATGGTATACCGAATACCTAATTTACTATTCCATAAAATTGACTAAATTAATACATTGAATTAGTGTTCCATAATAAAAGGAATCAATTTGAAATTTGAAAAAAAATGTATTTAAAATAGGGAAATCCAATCATAATCTTGCAAAAATTCGTAAATTCCTAAATTAATGGAAAAAAATTTAACACTATAATCCTACACCATTTCATATATATATATATATATATATATATATCATTCAGTAAGATTATGACATATGACCCTGACCGGTTTATGAAATGGTGGATAAGTATTAGTAATTTTTTAAAAGTAATAATTAAATAGAGGAATGTGATAAATTTTATATGGTGGTGCAGAAAGTGTTGTAGAATTGTGGTGTTTGAGATACTTAGCCGTAATGTAATAAATTATGATATGATATTTATCTACTCAGATAATAAAGAAGTAAATGAAGTATGATATGATAATTAAATACGAACAATAAACCGGTGTTAAATCTCTGTAAGTTTTATAATGCATTTATTTTTAACAATTTCACTGAAATTCTATAATGTAGAATTAACGAGAATATATTTGAACCAGCTTATCATTTTTGCTTTATTTTCCAAAAAATAAAAATTGAATGTATAACTAATTTCCCAATTTCTATTGTTTTGTTTATGGTTTTTTATTCTTTTTGTACTCTTTCCAAGTACGTGATCTTTCAAAACAAGAAAGATTGTTAGTCTCTACTCCAATTTTATTGTGTTCATAGAGAATTAATTTGTTATACACAATTGATTGAATTTCAATCATATCTATTGTATTCTCATGAGTGAATAAATGGGACTTTTTCTAACCCGCACATCGTGCGAGTATAACATCTAGTACACACACACACACACACTACATGTTACCCGTATGATGTGCGGGGTATAAAAATTCAGACTTATATAATCATTTTATAATCACAATCATATTAAATTTCATCACTCACTCCTTTTTAGAAAAGAAAAACTTCTATTGAAGAACAAAACTAATCAAAATCGAAATTAAGAGTTAACTCCGTGTCTATACAAAAATATGCCAATATCTAAGCAAAAGTCTAATACAATTTGACCAATTCAATATTAAATGTCACCGAAAAAACCCTCCTCTATCATAGAGTAAGTGGTTTGGGAAAAAATTGAGCATTAGATGATATCGATTAAGTTTTCAATATTTAACTATTTATTCATGTTCTAAGTTTTTAGAAGACTGATGCTGATATTTTTTGAGAAATATGCTAAGTGATCCCGGGTAAAAATGGTATGTTCTAAACCAAAAACTTTATTTGCAATTCTCATTCAGTAATTAAATACAAACTTTTTAATTAACTATTTGTAGGGATTAGATTATGTAATCCACATATTACCCAAAATATCGTATAATCATCATTCATTCAATTCAAAATTCAAAAAGGTAGTATAAATTTATTTTTCCAAAGCGGCTCTACGGGAACTCATATTTACAATGGCCGATTTTATACGAAAAGATTTCTTAACCAACACTCATCATTTTATTTTGTTCGATCTTATCATTGTTACTGATTGGGTTGTTAATGCAATACAATTCTTAAAATTTAAAATGGTATTAACAATTATCATATTTGAGTTGATTGGAATCTTCATGATGATTGATTTGTATAATTGATTGTGTCCAATTTTATCTTAAAAACTGAATATATCAATAAATGACATTAAATTGATCTTTATTAATGGCATTAAAGAACATCGATAAATTAGTATTTTAAATCTATGAAGTTGGACACATTTATAGTATTATACTAAGAGAAATCCGAGATAGGTTTCAAAGAGAGTTTTTAAGCCGCCACGTAGGATAAAATCTTACGTGTCACTTTCTCAAAATTTGGAGAAAAAAAAGTTTCAACATTTATCTAATAGCCCCTAAAAAAATTTTCAACATTCACTATAATTATCTAAATTAATTAACATTATATATATCCAATAACGATTGATCTCACTCCCAAAATCAAGGTAAAAATTAATAATCCAATCTCATATATTTTGTGCACTTAATTAATATTAAATATATCTAATAACTAGGATCCTCACATTTTGGAACATAGCAGGATTTTCAATGAGAATTCTAAAATGGACTCCTGGATTTAAGTTTGAAGAAGAACCTCCGAGTGATCCTGTATGGGTTTCATTGTTTGATGTTCCGATAAAGTACCTGAATCCGGATGTAATCTAATCTATGGCTACAGTAATAGGGAATCCCCTAAAAGTTGATGCTCCTACGATGAATATGACTTGGCCTTCTCGAGCGCGTTTCTGTGTTGAAGCCGACTTGATGAAGGAGCTTTTGAAGTCAGTCAAAATAGGGGAAAAAAAAGGGCGCAAGCATGAGCAATTTTTCACCTTTGAGCATATTCCTTCTTATTGCTCAAAGTGCAGTAAAATTGGCTACAAAAATGACGAATGCAACCAAGGGAAGATGATTCAGCCGCATCATTTGATGGAAAAGGAGAAACAAGTCGAGAAGAATGAAGCCCAGGCCAACGGAAAAGGCATTGTTTTGAAGCCTTTGAAGTCCAAGTGGAAACCAAATATTGGTCCTAACAAGGATACTAATGTTTCAAATTCGGGCTTAACTGATCAAAAAAAGGAATCAACTCCTGTTGATCCATTTCATAAGAACATAGGTGGAAAGGAACTTGAACCAGATATGCAACAAGTAGTAGAAATGCAAGAAGCAATCAAAACAGGGACTCACGTCTCATCTCCACACCAAACGAATGATTCAGCTTTGTTGGGAAACTTTGATGGTAATGCTAATGTTGTTGATGTCTCATCTCCAAAGGATCACTCAAATACAAATTGAAATGATGGGATTAAGGTTGCAAACGATGAAGTTTCAGAGGAAAATAATAGTGGTAAGATTGATGGGGAGCTATAAATGGAAGATGATCTAAATCAGAACAACCAACAAAAACAACTTGTTGTTGAGCCGGTGATAACAAATACCTTCCAAGTTTTGCATGAAGATGTGATTGAGGAGAATGCTAATGAATCCATCGTAAAGAAGATGATTCAGATAAGGGCTTAGTAGTAGTTGGAAAGGCAGGCACTCCGAAACAAGTAGATGTGAAAAAGCAACTCATTATAGAAAACACAAAAATTTTGAAAAAATCCTTTCTCAAGTTGCAAAGGGTGATGAACTTGAATTTATCTATGCTCATAAGCAACGGAAGAGGCCTAGTACCAACGCGAATCCGAAAGTGCGTCGCTCGGAAAAATCTAATTTTTGTTGATCATAATCCTTTGAATTTATTACCTTTTTGAGCTTTTTTAGATGCTTTTTAAAATGTGGTAAGTCTTATGCACTGCCACTCTCCTTTCCTTTGATTCCAACTATATAAAATGGGTGCGACACCCGCCAGGCACTGCCTGTTTTATTATAAAAAAAAACTATTGATCTCATTCCAAACAAAATCTCCCACATACAATTTGAATAAATGTTTAAAGATAATGAGTGAATCACTGATACTAATTAGTACTATTCATTTTTAATTTGAATTTTAATTCTTATCATCTATCAAACCGTAAAGGAAACTTGAAAAAAATATAATGAAACGATCTCTCAAATCACACCATTTAAATCATATAAAAATGCAATAATTAGTATCTTGATCATTAATCATAGGAAAATTGATATATAAAATATTCTTTGATCAAGATTCTTCCTACCTATTCTAATGTTTTTTCGGTGTTTAAAGTTTTTTTTTTCTCTGTTATTTTTCCAATGATCACTCGATTCGCTCTCCTCCTAACTTTGATAATTTTGGTGTTTAGATCCAGGTATATACTAAGAAAATGATATGCTCTTATTATCATCATCTTATTTAAGGTATTATTAGATTACTTATTTATAAATGGGATTTGTAAGGCCTTGAATTTTATTATTTTTAAGATTAACACGATTGATTTTTTTAATTGAATTTTTTTTGTGGGAATGGAACTGTGAGTGTTGTTTATCTTCTCATATTGGTATCGTTGTAATGTGAATACTTCTCCGAATGAAATTACACATCAAGAAATCACGGGAATTTCTTCATTTTTTAACAAATTGGTACAATACTATGATCTTTAACTTTTTTTTTTTTTTTTTGGTATGATGCACATTTATAGTTTAAAAAAGACTTTCTCTCTCATTTATCATGTGATCATGTCATTACATTTTTATTTAATCAAATTTTTAGCAATTATTTTTGCACTGATTATGGTTTATACACGTGATTTATATATATATATATTATAAGTCGTGTATAAAAATGTTATAATCAAACCCGCTCAAGTTTTTAGTTAAATTTTGATTGGCTAATGATGTATGTGCCAAGTTTTGGATTGTTTTATTTTTCTTTTTTCAAAATATGAAGACTCCTCAAAAATTTGCCATATAATGTATAAGTTTTTTTTTTTTTTTGTTCTCTCTCAAGTTTCACTCTAAGTAGTACATCCTATAGATATTTGGATCACAAACATTTTTTTATCTCTCATAATATTGAGAGATACATTTTTATCTCTCAATGTTATTATTCAATGATAGTATGAATGATCGTTAAAGTAATCGTGTGGAACCCGATTAATACTCTCTCTCTCTCAAAAAATAATTTCCTCTCCCTTCTCTCTAACGTCTTTTTTGTCTGAAAACCCTAAAGCTCATGGCGGCTACTCGGCTGCCGGACGAATCACAGCCCAAGAACTTGACTTTCGCACAAATTCTAAATGGGACAAACCCAAAACCTAAAAAACTTCAAAATGGCGTTGGAAAATCGAACACTGCTGAACCTTTTATTCGCTCCAGCCCGACGGTTTACAAAGGTGAGCCTGCGTTTCTTTTCACAAAGGAAGAGGATGAAAACCTCGCGGAGCCATTTAAGCTTGCGCTCAACGGAAAATTTTCTAAAGGAAGGCCGGCGATGGTAACTTGTGGAATCATTTTCAGAAGATCTGTTTTAAGGGTGATTTCTCTCTCGGGATGATTGATGACAGGCATGTTTGATCAAGAAGAAGACTTACAGAGATGCTGGATTAAAGGATTGTGGTCATTTGGTCATATGTCATGAGGGTTTTTAAGTGGACACCGGAATTCAATCTTGAGCACGAGTCCTCGATAGCTCGTGTTTGGGTTGCTTTTGAGGGCAGCTCGTGTTTGAGTTGCTTTTGAGGGCTTGCTAATACATTGATTTAATGAGGAGTACTTGCAAAAAGTCGCTGGAATCATAGGCAAACCCTTGAAGATGGACGTCCCCACTCTGAATATGTCGCGCCCCTCAATTGCTCGTGTGTGTTGAAGTCGATTTGCTCCATGATCTACCAACGCGAATTAGATTGGGAACTGCGGAGCATTCTTACTTCCAGCCAATTACGTATGAAAACTTACCAGACTATTGCTTAGAATGTCGAAAGATTGGCCATGCTGCAGTAGATTGTCGACATTTTAAAGAGAAAAAGGGTGATGCAGAAATACAATCCAAAGGAATGCGACCCCAGGATAATCGATCAAATGCAACGAAGGTTGCTGCAAATGCTAAAGTTAGGGCACCGGTTGCTAAGAATTCTTGGAAACCAAAGGAGGTAAGCTCTTCGATTCCAGTAATGGTGGAAAAGGATAAAGAAGCGGTGGATAAGGATAAAGAAGGTTCAACATCAGGTTTATCAATGATGGAGAAAGCAAAGATTCCGAATGATGTAGAACCTTCAAGCCCTCAATGGCTCAATCAAGACAACCCTCGACTGCTAACCGGAAGTTTTCAAAGGATCAACTACTCTCTGTGATAAAGAATAATCGACAGCAGGAAATTTCGTTGGACCTAAATGAAACTGATGATAAAGACAGAAATCAGACCAACACAAATACAGATAGACAGTTGATCATTTATCAGGAACCAATCAGAATGGCTTCTGTTTTCGCTACAAATTCTCGATTCCATATTCTGTCGGATACGCAGGAAGAGGAAGCGTTGTAGAAAACTAATAAATTGGTTGGACAAGCAGAAAATAATGTGCTAGACGCAATAGAGGATTCAGACTCTGACGCTGAAATTGTTTACACAAAAAGTATCAAAGAGCGGCATGGTTTTGGAGGGGTATTATCTGGTTCTTTGTAATGATGCTGTATTGGGGAAAATAGGGATTATGTGATCGCAGAAGAAGCCAGGTTGGTCGCCTCTGATGATGAAGGGAAAAAGAAAAAGATAGGACGACCTAAAGGATCTACAAAAGCTTCGAAAACTCAAGTTCCTAAAACTCGCACTTCATCGAGAATTCACGGTGACCTCTTATCACAAAATCTTCAATGAATAGCCATCTCATCTGTAATGTAAGAGGAATTGGAAATAAAGCCTCTCGAAGGTGACTCAAGAATTTGGTAAATTACACTCTTTATTGTTAGTTGTACTCTTGGAACCAATGCTACCGGCATCTCAAATTGAGAAATTGAAGCTGAAACTTAACTTCCATGTGGCTGTGGCTTCATCAAATAGTAAAATATGGATTCTCTGTTTTAATGCTTGGAATCTGAAAGTGTTGGGAGAATCGGATCAAGCTCTTCATACGGAGCTGGAAAATACAGAAAGTTTGAAGAAAATTCTATTGTCTGCGATGTATGTATGCGAAATCAGCACAATTGGAGAGGAAAGATCTTTGGTCTGAACTTTTATGTTTTCATCAGCAGCAATTAAGGATCCATGGATGGTCGGCGCTGACTTCAATGTCATTCGTAGCCTTGATGAATATAAGGGGAATTCGCAGCCGGATAAAGGAGCTATGGATGATTTTAGTGGATGGATAAATGCATGTTGTCTCTCTGAGTTAACACCCTTGGGAAATTCATTTACGTGGGCAGAAAATAGGCAGCAAGGGAGGGTTCTGAAACGGCTCGATCGACTTCTCTTTAACCAGGAATGGCTGGACAACTTTTCTATCTCCTCAGTACATCATCTCAACAGATCAACCTCAGATCATGCACCAATACTCCATCAATTTCGTACTGAGGATGCAACAAGGCCTAGAATGTTCCGTTTTCAGCGTATGTGGATGAGGCGCGACTGTTTTATAGATGTGGTGAAGACGAACTGGAATCAACCAATAGAACAAAAAGGCATGCTTGCTTTCTCGCTGAAGTTACGACGTCTCAAAACCTGTCTAAAGGAATGGAATAAAAACGAGTTTGGGAATGTCTTTGAAAATTTGGAGCAAGCTGAAAATGAAGTTCAATTGAAAGAGGCAGCATACGATCAAACTGGAAATGCGGGGGATCGAATTTTACTTCATCAGGCGCAAGCTCATTTGCTCAATAAATTACGGGAACATAAAGAATTTTTGCAACAAAAAGCAAGATTGAAGTGGCTGAAAGATGGAGATTCAAACTCTACATATTTTCATGCTTCCTTGTTGGATAAAAAGGCTCGGCTTGGCATATACAAAATCAGAAATGCGAATGGATTTTTTTTAATCAATTCATCCTATCAAGCTTAGAACCAAAAGAGACAAAAAAAAAAAAAAAAACAAAACTTTACCCTTTGTTCATGCATGGGCAAAATACAACAAAAAAAATTATAGATTCAAAACGAATTCAAAACAAAGATGGGTAGACAAAAATCTTACATTGTAAGAGACAACCACCTCTAGGTTGATCATTGTCGACTTGTCATTTATATATACACTTATTTATGTGAAAAGATAAGTATTAATAAGAAATGTCTTAATTCCGAAATAAGGTTGAAAGCTCCCCACTGGGGTGGAGCTAGATGAACTTAGATATTTGAAATGAAGTAAAAAAAAAAAGAACAAAAAAAAAAAACTATATTCATAGAAACATGAAACATGGAAAAAAATAAATATAAGTAATACTACTCCCCTAAAATGGACTATGTGTGTCTATGAGACAGTTCACCTTATCACCAATTTCATAATATCAATCCTTCTCCTTTCTCGAATCAAGATTCTACATACTAGATGTTAAACCCGCACGATGTGCGGGGTATGTTACATTTTTTTTTTTGAGTTTTTTTTATACAATATAAAAATGAGTGTCACATATGTATAAATTTTTGGAAAATACTATTAATTATGAAGATTTTGAATAAACAAAAATGTGATACATAAATAATTTATATATATATATATCTATAGATTTACTCATAGAATCAAAATCTTAAAGGTAGGTGCAAAGATTGAAATGCTGGACCATTTTCAAAGTAAATAAATGTATATTGTTATTGTAATATATTTATTTTAAAAAATTTATCAATTATAAAATTTTTTGTGCAAAACTAATTTTATTGGGCCAATTTCTTAATCATGTATACTTATGAGGACTTTGATATTACACAAATTTATTTATTTTTGAATTAATGAAATTATACCACATAAGATGAAATCATATGTGTCACTATAGGAAAGATTTCATTTCATGAAGCATTCTTTCAGTTTAAAGATGGTTGTTCTAATGGCTGGACATCTCTTATTGATCTTAACTCAAACAGCCACATTCAATGGGCTAAGAAGAATAATCTTTGTATATTTGATCATTTCCTTTAAGTCTAAGGTTATTCAGTTTTTATCATGATTACAATCTTTCAATATTTACGGCTTCTCGCATATATCGTGTTTAAATACTAATTTTCATAATTACAGTATTTTAGTGTTTTCGATACGTAATATTCAACTTCCAAATATAAAATCATGAATTTGGGCTCGAAGGAAAAGGAAAAAGTAAAAAATAAAATAAAAAAAAAATTAAAAAAAAAAACCAAAAGAGAAACTTCCAGGATTGACCATGACTGTGAAGTAACTTGTCAAATATATTATTTAGGAATTTTCAGAGATGAAATGCGCATACATTCATTAATGTTTCAACGACTCTTTAAGAATAATATAAAACTATATCTTTTATACACTCAACTTTTTATAAACTATTCCCATGATATATACTTAGCCATATGGATTCCATTTTGATCTCAATTGAAGCAGGGGCAAAGACTTAAAGAATTGATTGAGAATGCGATGCTGTCAATAAACATAAAATTATTTTGAACAGTAATATAGTAAAGTCTTATTAATCCATAAAAAAAGTGCCTGCGAAGTTTAATAGTTGGGCACGATTATTACAAAAATTGAGAACTGGGGAAATCGATTCCATGCAATTTTCCCAGTTAAGTTACTAACTGCCTATCAAAATTTAGTAATGCTAACCAACCAAACTAGGTGGGTGGGGATGGATCCATTTCCATCAAAAATTAATAATTTTCCAGTCTCAACTTTTCTTTTTTATTAGAATAAAATTTACTTCTGATTCTCAGCTATATCTCGAAGCATCATCGCATACCTTTCAAGATCGTTAGCCACCTGAGAAAGATCCTCGTCGACGAAATGGTCCTCTAGTGAAACAGCGCATTGTGAATTTGCCTGGTAACTGTTCTCGTAGTCACCAGAATTGATGAAATTAACGCTGTCTTTAAACAAATCGCAGCAATCGGATACTCTTTTATTGGAGCGTTTAGACTTGAGTAATCGTTGAAATGTTTTAAGACCTGCCTGGATCCGTTGAACAATTTCGACGCTTACCGGTTTCAGCCATTCTTTTCCTTGGAAATCTTTCGGGTCTTTCACCACCTGCTTAAGCAATGTTACACAAATGTCATTTATTGGGTGTCCTTACAAATTTCCTCTGCCGTTTTTGGTGCCGCCGCCGTTGCCCAGGATAACCCAGCCGCCACTACCACTCCTAGGAATAAAACACTCAGCCTCATTGTTGCCATTTTATTTTTTTTCCCCTTCCGGAAGTCTTTTTTTTTTTTTTTTTTTTCCCTTTGCTTTTCTTATTCTCTTGTTTTTCTTTTTGGGTGTTTGTTTGTTGCGATTGTAGGAAGCAATAAATGAGGTATTTATAGCTAATGATTATCTAATGCATGACTTGGCCTTCTTTTCCCATATCATGAGGGTGAGGAAATTCTGGGAAATGTGACATCGGGAAGGAGGAGAGCAATTTGCTCTCTACCCTTGGAAACTTTCTCCAAGATTTTTAGATTCTTGGTTTGAGCAGTTCTTTCTGCTTATGATTTTTTTATTTATTTATTTGGCCAAGTGATTATTCATATATAGCACCTAAAATTTGTGGACTTGGAGTTGTACGCCATTATTATTGATTGATCATTTTTGATATTTACTGTCTATTTTTAAATGTCTTAATTACTATCTGAATGATTGGTATCTGTTCATTCCTTTGAAATTTTTCTATATCACGAATATTGTCTTTCACAATTGAAATCGTTGGGTTGAATATATATTATCATCATATCATTCCTAGCTAATTAATTATATCTAGTAACATGGGATGACCTTTTAACATTGAAAAGTGGGCATTGTTCTACTGCACCTTCGTTCGAAAATTAATCTAACCAGTGTTGGAACATGTAATACCCTTCCACATGCTAATCAATAAGTGGTCTCCCCGTATATGTGATATGTCATTAATCACTCACTGTGCTACTTACTAGGATTTATGGAAAAAGGAAAAAAGTCAATTTCTATTTATTGGAAAGAACTTTAATAATAGGTTAAGACATATTAAAATAAATGTGTTCTTTTTTGAAATTATACGGAGTAATTTTCAAAAAAAAATGATTTCTCATAAAAAGTTCAAATAAGTAAATATATCCTTAACCGGATCTGAATCTCGGTACGTGATATATGTCCATTCTTATTTTGGATAGACCTGTGTAGGTTTATTCATAGTAAATACAATAATATGATGATATTAATCTATTGTATATAAGTTATGTTTTAGACTATTTCTTTGTATTGTCAAATGCAGTTGGACGATTTCCAACATATGAAAATTTTCTTCTCAAGAAAAGATGAATTATACCTAATCGTTTTATATATTAACAACAATTCTAAGTCCTAATGGATAAGGAACAACTATTGTAGTTGTTCTCATGCCATCTCAATCAATCATATGCATAAAACCCAACATGTTTATGATTCTCATAATTTATGCTTTCTTGCATTTCTTGTGTTGTACACTTGTACTCCATATAAAACGAAAATCACATATAGAGTTATTTTGTAACTTGTTTTTGCCACACTTGTCAATATTACTTTCATCCTCGATGTCACGGCAAAAAAAATAAAAAATTATAACTTATACCTTAACCCTTCACTATTTATTTCTTGACTCCCTCTACTTTCTTATAGGAGTCAAAGGGCTTTTATGGGTGAACAGATTTGCCTTTCACAATTTCTAACATAAAAGAGAAAAAGATCAATTTTGTATTCTCTTTCTATCTATTTTGAAACTTGGTTAGTCTCCTTTTTGGTGGGAGGAACCAGTGCGGTACTTGACACTTTGGCTGGACTTGAACCGGTTTATTGAAATATAGTGAGCAGTGCTTGAATCATAATTAATTATATGCGCTCCTCCATTTCTGAAAACCCTATTTCATTGCAAGAAAAAGCTAGCCTCCATGGCCGGTAACAAGTCGGTGGATTCTCCTCACTTTGATCCACCAACATATGCAAGTCTCTTTAACAAACCATTGAAGCAACCAAACCGCTGCTACATTATCCTAAAGATTTTAAAACTCCATATTAATAATGAACTTTTCCATAAGAAAAAGGAAAAATTCAAAATGAAAGTATAGAAAGACCTTCATGAGCCGACGGCTGACTTGCAACCTTTCATCGAGTTCAAACCTTTGTAGTAGCGGTAATACGCATTCAGCATACTTAATATTAAAAAAGGACATTTAATTAATGTGAATCTCATGTTTAAGAACCTAATGCTACAAGCTTGAAATTGCTGATTCTTACCTTAGATTTGCGCGACTAACTGGAACCGGTCACGTCGAAAATATATGGCACACCCGTCCATTCCATCTTCATCATCCATCCGTAGAACAGCCAAAGATCAACCCAATCCAATTTTATAAAGGGAAGCCAGTTGTGTGGTATGATGAAGAAGAATTCGATCTTCTTGTATCAGATCTAAGTTCTATTTAGTTGGAAAGTTTTCATTTAGGCGGCCACAGATGTAAGACATAGTTCAAGACAAATAGGTTTTCATGGGATCCTGCGAAATTGGGCTACTAAATGATAGACATATTTTGTTGAAATTTGAAATAGAGGATGATTACTATAGGTTCTGGATGAAACGATCATGGGATATCAGAAATTTTTTTTATGTTACCACGATTTTTAAGTACGAGGAAGAGCCTCTATCCAATTTGAATTATAAGAATTTCCGAAATTTCCTTGTCTCGCATGTTGAACTTCTTCAGAGTTTAGGTGACAAACATCAACTGGACTTGACTTATTTAAACTTGCTCTCATTTCCGCAATCTCATTGGTCCTTGTCTCGCATGCTGAACTTCTTCAGAGTTTAGGTGACAAACATCAATTGGACTTGGCTTATTTAAACTTGCTCTCATTTTCGCAATCTCATTGGTCAATGTAGCAACCTGAGCTTGTAGGTGGATGGATGCATCTATCTCATAAACCCCTGACTTCTTAGACATTACCGTATCATTATTCGGCTAGTGGTATTAATTTGTTGCAATGTTCTCCAACAAATTCTTACCATTTTCAACTCCCTTCATTATAAACGCTCCTCCAGCTGAAGAATTGCAAGAATTCCGCGAAGCATCGGACAAACCAGCATAAAAAATACCTAGCTACATAAATTCCTCGATTCCATGTTGTGGATGTCATGAAACTTATCATCAACAAATTGAATTGTACGTGGATGCCTTGTTTGAGTACGATCTGAATTGAAGTAATTATAAATGTATTGTTTATCATTACGAATATTATTAGTACTACAAATATATCATGTAGGAGCAGATTACTTAAAAATATTTGATAATCGTGTGCTTAAGGGGAGGTTTAGTTTCAATTTATCCAGTCGCAAATTCTGATAGATCCATTCTTCTACACAAGAGGACTCACAACCTTTCAGAAGCTACTCAGGTCAAGTATGTCTTCCAACACTTATCCAAACCCTAATTACGGCAGACCAACTACTCTTGCACCGTTTTCGCCTTCAGTTCCACTCTCCTGGACCGAAGGATCTTCGCAAACGCAGCTCTTTTATAAAGTTTAATTTCATGCTTTGTGTTTCCAATATCCATATTATGAAAGACCGTCCCTGACCCACATGCACGGATGAAGTACCCTTACAACAAGAAAAGAATGCTTGTCAAGAAGGAGGAAGAAACAAAGGAGAAGAATAGAAGATTGAGGACATGATTCGCGTGAAAGCAACAAAGGTTTGGTCGAAAGAAAGCAAACATACCACTGATGAAACCACCCCCTTCACCCATTCCAATGCTTCGTCTTACTTGAGATGCGGCACCGCAAATCGCCCTTTTGGCCAGCATAGCAGCGTCATCATAGTACAGATCATTATAATTCCTACATAAAAATGTCAAAATATCAAAGGATGGTTAATGAAAAGAAAGTTAAAAGTAATCATTATTTACTGTTAATAATCAAAGAAGGTTTACCAGACAGCCAAGATACCATTAGCGATTGAAAATCCAGATCCGGTGGCACAATTTTTCCCTTGTTTAGGTCTATCCCCATTGCTCACGTAATACAAGCTAGCACCCTAAACACCAACAAAGACCGTGATTCAATAAGGGTAACAATGAGGGCTGAAGGAACGTCACTGCAAGTAAAAGTCCATTTGCGAGAAAGTACGTGATGTTTACATTTTTATTGTCCCATCCTACAACTGTTAATCCCACTAAGGAACCTTTCTCGCCGCAAGATGACACAGTGTCAGCCACCCACTCTGATGCCTCTTCAACAGAATGTATTCTTCCCCTCTCAAGTTCATGTTGGCGGTACTAGCATTACAGTGAAACTAATAAAGCCACAAAAGCATATAAGAAACAGACAACAAAGAGATCTGTTATCTCTCTTCTGTGAATTGAAGATACCAATTACATATACCAATAGAACGATTTTCAAACAGTGATCACCCTGTATTAAATGTAAACTACCAAGAAGGATACAAAAATACGTACCCGACTTTGAAGAAGTCCGAGAGATGATTCACAGTTCGCCCTCTCTCCAGTATAAGCGACAAGCACAGTGAGGATGGAGATCGATGATGTTCTCGACATACTTGTTTTGTGCTAAATTTAGTCAGCAGTTAATTACTAACTTGTTCGTGTATTGAAGTAAATACAGAGCATATTCATAGACTAAACAAACAGCAGGTCATAAACAACTCACTTGGTGAATGATCTGTAGCTAACATAACCCCTCCTTTGAAAACAAAGCCAAAGTTGTGGCTCCGATTTTTCGTGTCTCCATATTTCTCTCGCCATATGAATTGTTGGACGAAAAATGCCACACACAAAAAAAAAAAAAAAACATAAATAAATTAAACAAAAGGAAACAGATATTTGTTCAAAGTTACAATTTCGAAGTACATAAAACTTATTGAAGGGGAGAACAAAAGAAAAAAATGACTGACGCATACATGATCCATGTCCACGCAAGTTGACGAGAAAAATCATCAAATAAAATAAGGCAAAAGGTCGAATTGGGTGCTAACCTTCAAATTAAAAAAATGAGGTCTATTTTGAGTATGTAGCTAAACTATTATTTCCTCCGGTTCTTAAGGTACTAGTGATGTCTGAATGCGCGACCCTGGCCCAATCTATCTGTAGATCTTAGAAATGTTTATATTTGAAAAAAATAAAATTTTGTATTTAGAGCGATATATTTTAGAAATTTTTGAAGGATTTAGAAATGTTTTATAAGTGTGATCATAGAAATATTTGTATTTCGCAAAAAAAAAATAAATTGTATTTCGCCATGTATGTTTTAGAAATATTTTATAAGCGTTACTTATTAAATATAAATAGGTTAATCGAATATATGTGTTGAAGTAAATGTTAGATAAAATATAAAAGCATCCTAATAAATTTTAATATTAGTAAGATGATTTATTGATGTTCTCCATTGGTCGTGCCAAATCAATACTTAGTTTTGGAGATTTTTAATAGCATTGTAATAAACTTCATCCGAAGGGTATACGCTTAAAACAAAATTGACACTTTGTAACAAAAAAACTAATTGATCAATTCAATTTTAAAAACCACTCTAGTTGAATGAAACATAAAGAAAAAAAAAAAAAACGTGTCACGTAAAGTGCAAAGGGAGATTTAGTAATTTAGTTATGGTTAGACAAAAGGGCAATTTAGTATTTTCTACATGCCACGTGGCAATCATATGATGTGTTTGAAAGGGAGGTTTTTGTTTCTAATATAGTAGGATTTTGATTTGTTTCAGGTTTCACCTAAGACTATTTCTAATTGACAAAAAAAATTTAAAAATATATTTTTCACATTCGTTATGTACTCTGAATTGTAATGAAATATTTTAAAAGTTTTTTTTTGTTAATTAAATATACGTATTTAGTAAAACCTAAAACAAATCAAAATGTCTTATATTAAGTACCGGAGGAGTGCCATCTCCGCCAATGCTCGAGGAGTTTTCTTTTTCTTGCGGAAAATTCGAGGCTCAATAACGGCAGCAGAAGATGGGGTTCCAACTTCGTTCTCAGCCTCAGGGGATCCATCATCGAACTGATGATGCCACCGCCACAAATAACATGAAGAAAGGAATCACAAAGTAACCAATTACAAAATATATCAACAAAATCAAAACAAAAAAAAAAAAACAAAGAGCAACACTCTTCGGAATAGTTTGAGCGCATGGGCACACATTTTCATCGGTATTTGTGAAGAATTGGACTGGGAATATAACCGCAAAAAGAGTAGAAAGAGACCCATAATCGAAGAAGATAAAATTTAAATTATCTTTTACCTTCTTTGCTGATGGTCGAATTTTTCTCTTCTTGCTCGCAACTAAGGGCTCCCCCTGGCGTTCGCGGCATCACCACCGCCTAGCAGAAGTTTAAGACGGCTGATTGGTGGTTTTGTCCAGTGTTACTTATTCGTACCAAGGAAGGAAGGAAAAGCTTTTGGGCTTCAAAATAAGGATTGCATCAGATGGAACGGGTTCAGATTTTAGGCTTCGTGGTTCAGTTGGCCCAAAATACAACTCTTCCCTGAAGCGCTAATTTGTGTCATGCTTCTGAATTTTGCTGAAGCGTAAAATAATTTTTTTTTATTAAAAAAATAAAAGTAAACTATTTGCAAAAAAAAAAAAGAAAAAACCTCAAGTGATATACCTGAGTAGCCTCTTAACATTTTTTGTCATTTTCTTTTAATGTGTTTAAAGTCATAAATATTGTCTTATATAGGAGCGGAGCTACATACAAGGAAAGTGGGGCAATTGCACCAACTGGAATTTTTTTTTTTGGCTGTTAACCCCTTGAAATTTTAGAATTTTCTTTAACAAAAATTAATTTTTGCCCCAACTAAATTGAAAATATTAGGAACAAGTATATTAGATTAGAAATTTAAAAAATTTTGCCCCATCATATATAAGGGGCTTGGCTCCGCCCCTGATCTTATACTATTTTCAAAGATGTGAATTTCGTAGTAAATTATTTGTGCGTCATGGGCAACAATGTTTCCAAAGAGGGTTTTGATGTTCAATTTTTCATTTTTAAGTGTTAAGTCACCGCAGGAGCAAGATGTAATAAGTGAGAATCACTTGATCATTATTTTATTTTGAATTTAGGTTTTACCTTTTTTATTGTATAAAAGGAAAAAAAAAATTAAGTGATATACCCAAAAAACTTAAGTGATGGAAAATGAGGCGCTGATAACAAATGTAACGGATAGTTTACCTTTTCTTATAGAAAATTAAAAATAAAAATTATTTTGATGGATTAATCAAATGAACAGATGCACCCAATACCTTTTGTTACCTGTCAATCACACTTGCCAAACAGCATAATTTTTGTTTTACCCCCTAAATCACTTCAATATTCCATTTTTACTGGAGAATAATTTCATTCAATACTGGATATTAATTGGCCCGCCCAAATCAACATACAGCAGTTGAAAACTTCACATGCATCAGGAGGATTTGCATCCGTAAAATTAATATACTCAGCATCAGTTCCATGATCCCTTTTCAGGTATTCACAGGATAACTGAGCTCAACACCATCTCTTTATACCCTCTACTCTAGATCAAAGCCCTTCTTTCGCCTTCTGGAAAAACGAAGGGACAGAGAAACAAAATTACATACTCAATCTTGAATCATTGATCAATTCATTCATATAGTAAAAAGTCATCCCGGAAACAAACATAATTTTTTTCCCTCAAATAACAAACCATTTTGTCCAAACAGATCAAAGAACCAAGCACTTTGGATTCGTAAGTCATTATTCATGGCTGCTTCAGATGAAGATGAGTCAAGAAATAAGGTTCAGTACCCTCTGGACTCGAGATGCTACGAGATTATCGATGAAATCGGGCGAGGGGCGAGCGCGATCGTCTACAAAGCAATCTGTCTACCGTTGAATTCCTCTGTTGTGGCTATCAAAGCCATTGATCTTGATCAATCAAGAACAGATTTCGACAATGTCAGACGCGAAGCCAAGACAATGTCACTTCTTTCCCATCCTAATATCCTCAGAGCCCATTGCTTTTTCACCGTTGATCGTTCCCTTTGGGTCGTGATGCCTTTCATGTCCGCAGGTTCCCTCCAATCAATCATCAGTTCGTCGTTTCCGAATGGATTACCTGAGCCCTGCATTGCAATTGTTCTTAGAGATACTCTTTGTGCCTTAACATATCTTCATGATCAAGGTCATCTTCACAGAGATGTTAAGGCCGGGAATATACTGATGGACTTGAATGGTTCTGTAAAGCTTGCTGATTTTGGTGTTTCTGCGTCGATTTATGAATCGAACTCGAACTACGGATTGTTATCAGCTTATTCTCCATCAAGCTTGATGCTCACAGATTTTGCTGGAACCCCTTATTGGATGGCCCCTGAGGTGATCCATTCCCATGTGGGTTACAGTTTCAAAGCCGATATTTGGTCATTTGGGATCACGGCAATGGAATTAGCCCATGGAAGGCCTCCCCTGTCTCATCTACCTCCTTCTAAATCTCTGCTCATGAAGCTCACCAAGAGATTCCGCTTTTCGGATTATGATAAGAACAGTTACAGCCAGAGAAAGAAGTTCTCAAAAGCTTTTAAGGATATGGTTGGGTTGTGCCTTGATCAAGATCCCTCGAAAAGGCCATCAGCCGAAAAACTGTTGAAGCATTCATTTTTTAGGTACTGTAAAGGCCCTGAATTCTTGGTGAAGAATGTGCTTCATGGTTTGCCAACTGTAGAACAGAGGTTTAGACAGGTTAAGCTGATGAAATCCCTTTCACTGAATAAATCTGATGAAGGAGATGAAGACGGATCGGGTAATTCATCGGGTTCAGGTGATCAGGACAGCAACATTATCAAGCAGAGAAGAATCAGTGGTTGGAATTTCAATGTGGAGGATTTCGAACTGAATCCTGTATTTCCAACTGAACAAGAAAATGATGATAGCAACGTTGTGAAACAGGTTCGATTTGGTGGTGAAAGTATCATATCAGGGAAGGAAAGAGGAGATTCATCAGGCTCAATTGCAAGCGATTCTTCTGCGTCTGATCGAGTTTCTGATCTTTCTGATGATCACGCTAGGCAAAATGTTACTGGCAGCAGCAAGACTGATGCTGCTAATGATGATCAGGTTCAAGGCGGTGGCAATATGGATTGGGAAACGGTGCTCAAGAGCCTGTTGTTCCTGAAGAAGAGCCTTGAGGATCAATGGAATGAAGTGATGAACATGATTGATATTGTGAAGGGAAAGAAAAGTGGTATTGCTCCACAAATGAGATTGGACGAACCGAGTTTGATTCAAGCCATTGAGAATTTGAAGTTACAGTTGGAGAATGAAAAGAAGAAGAATCAAGCGATGGAGTTAGAACTGGAGTTCCTGAAGTTGCAATGTGCCAATGGATTATAATCTGATTTATTACTTTAGAACTTGGTGTTTGTAATGTCTATCAGATTGGATTTCAGTCATATTCGTAGAGTGTTGCAAACTTTCTACTTCTCCTATATCAAAAAATGACTGTCATGTTTGTTATATTAATTACTAGTGATGTCTGGTCGCGCAATGCGCGACCCTGACCCAGTCTATCTGTAGATCTTAGAAATGTTTATATTTGAAAAAAATAAAATTTTGTATTTGGAGCGATATATTTTAGAAATGTTTGAAGGATTTAGAAATGTTTCATAAGTGTGATCATAGAAATATTTGTATTCGCAAAAAAAAAAAAAAAAATTGTATTTCGCCATATATGTTTTAGAAATATTTTATAAGTGTTACTTATTAAATATAAATAGCTTAATCGAATATATGTGTTGAAGTAAATGTTAGATAAAATATAAAAGCATCCTAATAAATTTAAATATTAGTAAGATGATTTATTGACGTTCTCCATTGGTCGTGCCAAATCAATACTTAGTTTTGGAGATTTTTAATAGCTTTGTAATAAGTTTCATCCGAAGGGTATACGCTTAAAACAAAATTGACACTTTGTAACAAAAAACCTAATTGATCAATTCAATTTAAAAAACCACTCTAGTTGAATGAAACATAAAGAAAAAATTTAAAAAAAACGTGTCACGTAAAGTGCAAAGGGAGATTTAGTAATTTAGTTATAGTTAGACAAAAGGGCAATTTAGTATTTTCTACATGCCACGTGTCAATCATATGAGGTATTTGAAAGGGAGGTTTTTGTTTCTAATATAGTAGGATATATACACATTATAGTTTTTTTTGGGAACAGAGTACTACCAGAATCAAAACTTAAAGGTCAATGATTGTCATATATTTCATTTAGTTAGAGTTTTAAGTCCGTTTTGAATTTTTATTTTTAATTCTAATTAGATTAAAAATAAAAATTTAAACTCAACAATTATTTTGAATCGAGAAAGAACTTAAATATAGTTCTCAATATTTTAGTAAACCATAATGATCCTTTAGTACCTCAAAACCCTTCAAGTTTTTGCAATCCCTTTTACCCTATTAAAGCAGAATACAGGATGTTGATGTGGCAACTTCTTATTAAAATTTTTTTGCTCCAAATGCACCATATTACATTAACCATTCTGCCACGTGTCATCCCTTTTTAAAAGAAAAAAAATTCTTATCCAGAAAAACAAAAGCTACTTTACAAAAATAGCTACACAATTTTAACTCCTAACATTTATCATTTATCAATCAAATTAAAATAGTATTTAAATTTGTCCATAAACTTATCCCCTTTATTACTCCATATTCTTTTGTATGATTTCTGAATCGTTGTACTTTTCAATGTTTTTTCTCCTTTGGCAGATGATTTTTTTATTTTTATAATTATTTTTTGCTAAAAAAAAGAAAAAACAAATGTGTAGCTATTTTATTTTTTCCAAATCAAGAATTCATTTATCTATTAACATAAAATTAAAGTAGAGGGGCGCCCGGGCATCTGCCTGGGCCAAGCATCTAGTTCTTCTTATTGCAGCAACGCAATTAACAATTCTTTCATCGGGTACTCTGATTTGATAGGAATCACATATGCAAATAACCCACAAAATTTCCAACTTCATATCTCTATTTTAAGAGTAGAGATAAAAATCCTTAGTGCCAAAATCCAAAGCCAATGTCAATTGTCTTATGCAAATCAAAAAGACACTACACCTTCAAATCAATTGTGGAAATTTTTAAGAAAAGGCCAGAGTTGAAAACCAGCTTAACTTGTTCTCTGTCCTCTTCTTCTCTCTCAACCGCCTCCTCCTTCTCCCAAATCCTAAAGAAAAATTCTTCTTCCCACATCTTGATGAGAAGACGGGAAAATAGTTTTTATTCAATCTTTTTTTTTATTTTTTAGTTTTACTTTTTAATAAGTGGATCATTCCTAGGAGTACGAGAGTTGGTGAAATAGTTAGGGGATTAAGAGGGAGAACGGTTATTATCAGAAGGTCGAGCATTTAATTATGGAGTTATCAAATTTTATTTTCATTTTCTAAAAAAAGTGGGATCATTCTCAAATTTTAGTCCGTCGGCAGATTTTAATCTGCGGATTGTGTTGGAGTCTTTCAGTACATATTAATCTACTTATAGTAAGAGTTATTTAGAGTTTTTTTTGGCAATTGATGCTCATTGGGTTATTCTTTGTGGTTCTTGTTCGAAAAAATATGGTTATCATAGATCTAATAATTAGATCTATGAGATGGAGTTTTCATCAGAATACAAGTAATATATTCGGGATCATAATTTAGTACGAGGCATATCCAACTAATAATTAAGAATTCAACTGAACATATCTATATTCGTATAGGTCGAATTATAGTGAATATAATACTTTTAAATTGAATATTATGCATATGAGCAGTTGTAATAGTTTAGTGGTTGTATTTGTTCTGTTTCAATCGTTGTTCTGTAAATTTCAGTAAAGTTAATACAAACTCTTGTTTAAAGAAAAAACACACACCACCTTAGCTGATATTGGGTCAAACACTATGTTAATATTTGATGACACTCCAAAGAGTTATTTCAAGAATATAGTTTTCATTCATTCCTTTTTTTTTTTTTGAGTTTCAAGAATTTATTTCAAAACTAATTTATTCGTGACATGATGAATAAATAAAAGACTCTACTCACTTGATTGGAGAAATTATACGTTTATAAGGCTAATTCCACACCAAACAAGTGTAGTGCTTCTTATAAATCATTAAAGTTAAAATTTATGTATTTATGGAACAGATGTGTAAAACCCTTTAAGCGTTAGAAGAACAAATTATGTACAATTAGGAAGCATTTAATAAAGAAGAAGAAGAAGAAGAAGAAGAAGAAGAAGAAGAAGAAGAAGAAGAAGAAGAAGAAGACCAATTGGGCCTATGCTCATTTTTATATATATGTACATTTGGAACTTGCAATTCTAAATTCATTTCAAATTATCACCAAAGAACTGGATCCATAAAAGCCTAAAACCTCTTCCGCTCTAATTTATTCAGTTACCAAATGAAACTCTATGTTTTTTGAGGAAAGTTACAAAACTTGAATGATCATTTAAAATTTTGTACCACAAAGAAAAATATGCATTTAAGATGCATAAAAAAGAAGAGGATGGAAGTATGGAACACTAGTTAATGACAATATAGGAGTAGAGACCAAAAGAAAAAATTTTATCCCCTTAGTTATTTTCGACAATAGGTATTACAACTTTTACATGCCAACAAAGAACGTAAGAATCAATGATAAATGAAAAATTCGAAATACATATGATTATAATTATTTCAGAAGTGTTAAAGATAATGATCAAGAGATGTTACGGGAAAATATATTTTAGTGATAAGTTTTGCTGAATAATTGTCAAGAGTGATATATTTGATTTAATAATTATCAAGAATAATTTTTATCCAATAGTGTAGACAGGCCTATGAATAAGGCATCTATTCTTTATTTTGGAATCAATCAATCACAGTTTAGTCTTTAAAAATTATTCCATCTTCTCTTGTTTATTTGTTTTCTCTAAATTTGAGTTTTTTTCTTGATATCAGCGCATATCTTGCTTCTGCTTGCTATTTTTTGTTCTTTTTTCTTTAAGAAAATAAATCATGATTTTCGGATCGTGTTCATTCACAAATTCTAGCAATTGTGTCATGCTTAAATTCTAAATTTATTCCAAATTATTATCTTGCATTACTCCTCTACTACTAATTGTATACTTTTAGTTAGATTCTCCTAAAAGTATCCAGTTCCCATAAATCTGTCACAAATCAATTCTATTGAACCACAAATTTCTATTTTTATCTTTTGTTTTTTCTTTTTACACAAATCTACTTCAATTGATCCACAAGTTTCAGACAAAGAGGAAAGTCACCTCTGAGTCAATCCATAAAGATTTTCATTACGGCAAAAGTTTGATCTTCTCTCAGTCGAAAAGTTTTGACTTCAACAACTTAAAAATCTACTAAAAAATTTTCATTATAGTAAAAGTCTGATCTTCTTTCCAATTAGATTCTCCCAAAAGTATCCAGTCCCCCACAATTTTCTTCTAGAAGTACTCCCATCATGTGTCATTTTAACAAAATTGAATAATTCCAAAATAAGTATCATTTTCTTATTCCAATGTAATTTTTGTCCAAATTTTCAAAAATCACCCTTAAAAGAAATAGTATTAATTGTAACTTTTTTTAATAGGGCAGGTTGAAAATATTCTATGACTAAACTAACCGTATTTAAGTATTTCTTAAATTATGTATAGATTATCTAAGAATACTTATTTTAAAATAAACAGAGCATATAAACCACGGTTTCGTTTTTGTTGTTACTTAAGTTTTTTTTTTTTAAAATGCCACATCTAGAACTTATTTTTCTCACTTTAGGCATTCTTTTCTGAGAATAAAAATCGAATATAAAATGATTGGACATGATAGACTTTATATATGCAACATCGTGGCACTCCATATGATCACAAATCATATGACATTTTCTGGGATCTCCAACGTACATGTTACTCCAAATTACCCTTAGTAGTACAATGGACCAAAATATATTTAACAATAGATTATGTATGGCCACAAAGAATATCATTTAATTCTGCTAACTTTTTTTTTTCTAATGTCATTCTTATAATGCGAGTTAACTTTGTCGATTTGATATGTTGAGAAAGTGTTGGGAATTTTGATTCCATATATACTTTAATTAATGGATGTTTATACACTAATTCAACATACACACAATGGAATTATATGTAAAACAACCAAGCAAACATGATATACAATTTACGTGGTTTAGCCTCTCGATAGACCTATATCCATGGGTAAGTGACACTTCAGGAATAGAAGAGCCTTTACAAATGTGTTTTTTCTTCTAACATAATTGTCTTTCACTCAATTCCACACCTACAAACACTCCACTATGTGTTTCTCATTTCTACACAAACATATTAATTATACTAAAGAGTAATAAGCCCTGTTGGACTCTTCACCCTCTTTAAAATGGACTTGGACTTGAGTTTTGAGCAGTTAATACAACATATCCTCCCTCGAATCAAAGTCCCAAGTATTTCATCATTGTCTGAAAAAGAGACTCGCTTCTTCCTCTTCAATTTGAATCCCTCCCTGTGAATGCCAAGCGAACCACAAGTGTCATTTCTCAAATCACCGACATGGAATATGTAATGATCACTCTTCATACCTTGCAACACCAACTCATCTCCCTTGAAAACTTTGCAGCAGTTGCTTTCACCAAGAAACTTGTATTGATTTCCTCCATCTTTAAACTGCAGAGGTCAATCTTCATCAACAACCTGTTTGTCAGTGATTTTGACGCATATAAACTCTGTAATCTGTCCCAAATACTTTTCCCTATTATCCCATTCATGGCTTCATGCTTAATACTAGAAGCAAGTGTAAGTCAAATGTTACTTCATGCTTAATAATCTCTCAAAGCAAATCTTTCATTGTACATTGCCACATAATAATATCTACCTTCCCATCAAAGATAAGATACTCAAACTTAGGGGTGTTAGTTAATCATGACAACCCGAAAACCCGTCTGACCCAAATCAAGTTCGGACATTTCGGATCAGGTTTTTAGAGGATCGGGCGGGTAATCGGTTACACCCGAAAATATATAGTCATTGTTTGGGTGATATCTATTTTGTTCGGTCCCCGCTCAAAAACCCGAATATATATATATATATATATATATTTAAAACATTTAATATTACATTTTAATTTTTTATATACTCTAAGTTCCAATCCATTCCTTTGTCTCTTTGCTTTCTCCAATTCTTTTCTCTCTCCCGCACAGTACCAAGTTATCTTTCCTTCTCCTAATTTTTTCTCTCCCCCTCACACTGCTTTCCTCTCATCATCTTCTCCATCTCTATTGTCTTCCAAACCTCAAATATTCGGCCAAACCCCCTATCTTTCTCCATTGGTCATTCTCTGCACCTTCTCCATCCTCTAATGTTTCAATTTTTTTGAAAAGACGTTAGCCTCCACCATCCTTGCCGATTCAAATTGAAATCATTGCCCCCTTTTTTTTTTTTTCAAATCGTGTTGGTTTGGTGTTGGATATAGAATTCTTAATTTGGTGTTGTAATAATATGTGTGGAATGGGTCTGCGTATATAGACTATTTTCAAAATAGTATTTTGAATTATAGTATGTCAATTCTTTCATAGAATTTGGGGTTAGAATGGATCTGCCTCTTCATCTGTCATTCAAATCTGTGTTTAAGTAGGGTTGTTATAGAAGTTCGGTTGAACAAAAAATCGAACCGAAAAACTCGATTATTTATTCGGTCAGTTCGGTTCAAGAGTAAGAGATTATGGGGTTCAGGTAGTTCTTGTGACGGAAAAAAATCGATTAAAACGAACCAAATTCACCCGAACCGCCCGAATTGAGAGCTCTGCTCAAACTTCTCTCCCACATTAATTTATCCATTCTAACGTCCCTTAACCAATTAAATTGACCGAAATTGCAACAAAAAAATTGAATTTCTCAAAACAAATGTCAAAACTAAACTCAACACGTCGAAATTAAGGGATAGGGTCAACCTCAAAATTTTGCTCACGTGGCAGTCAACGGTCAACAGTTAACACCGACGTAGCGGTCAAGGGTCAACTCTCAATGCTGATGTGGCAGTCAGTGGTCAACGGTCAGTGCTGACACGGCAGTCCAGTCAACTCAGCGACAAGTGGAAGTCCAATCAGCGACACGTGGGCCAATCTTAACACGTGGCACAATCAGAAGATGCCACATGACAAAACTCACAAAACCTAATCTCCTTCCGTAGCTTCCGCACGAACGGTCCAAAATGCTCCGACTTTGATCGACGATATCTCCTCAACCGCTGGTCAAAAAATTCTGAAACTTTACTAACACAACTCAAGTTTGTAGATTCCATATATGTAGTATCATCGGCCTAAATCTACTCTAGTGAAAGGCAATTGGAACAATGGCCGGAATCTTTCTCGCGGTGATTACTCTCTTTCCGGTGATCTGATGTTCTGGAAACTTGGGCTCCCAATATTTTTCGATGTGAGGAATTCAACGGTGCACTCTGATAGGCGAGAAACTTCTTCTTCAACAGAAAGGAAGTATAGAGATGGTGAAGACATATGGACCTGGTTAAGAACAGAAAGCATATGTGCAGATATCAATAAATGCATATATATATATATATATTTATATATTGGTAAACTTAGTTAATATATATATTCAAACCAGAAGCCATAACTTATTAGGATTGAAAAAGGATTGTCTATCATTGTTAATGGGGACATTCAACTGATATATTATTTCTTTCTCTATATAACGGAAAAAAGAAACAAAAGAATGCACCAAAGACATTTCAAGATACGTCGAAAGGCTATCAGCCAAAAAATTCTTGAAGTATTCCTTTTTTAGGTACTGTAAAGGCCCTAAATTCTTAAGTGAAGAATATGTTTCATGGTTTGTCAACTGTAGAACAGAGATTTAGACAGGTTAAGCTGATTAAATCCCTTTCATTGAATAAATTTGATGAAGATGGATCGGATTTAGGTGATCAAGACAGCAACATTACCAAGTAGAGAAGAACCCGTGGTTGGAATTTCAATGTGAAGGATTTCGAACTGAATGCTGTATTCCAAATGAACAAGAAAATGATTAGTAATGTTGTGAAACAGGTTCAATTTGGTGGTGAAAGTATCATACTAGAGAATGAAAGAGGAAATTCATCAGACTCAATCACAATCGATTTTATGCACCTGATTTAGTTTCTGATGCGCTGGAACCAATGCCTAAAAAATGAATGCTTCAACAATTTTCGGTTGATGACCTTTTCGATGGATCTTGAAATATTTTTGGTGCATTTTTTCCCCTTATGTGGTGAAAGAAATAATATATTAGCTGAGTATTCCTGTCGACAATGGTAGATAACTTTTTTAAAATCCTTATGAGTTATATTTTCAGGTTAAAAAATCTAAATCAGACAATCACTTTGGAACGTGAGAGTACTTAAATATTTTTCTCATTGTTTTAATACACCATAGTGATCATTCCAATGTTCCTTGACACACATAATCTGGGATGTAAAAAAATTACCAAAACCCTTCAAGTTTCTGCAATTCTTTTTATTGCAGCGATGCAAGAACAATTTTTCCATTGGGCTCGGGCCTCGGGGTACTCTGATTTGATAGAAACCACTTATGCCAAAAAAAACCCTTCCAACTTTGTGACTCTATTTTACGGAGGGGGCTAAAGCCCATCGTACCGGAAGCCATTGCCAAGGTTATTGGCCTTATGGCAAATCAAAACGAGTAACTACACCATCCAATCAGTTGAAGAGATTTTTAAGCAAAGGCCAGAATAGAAAACCACCTAAATGATTTTGGGTCAATCACCATGTTAATATGGGGCATTTTGATACGTAAAGAGTTATTCAGCCCGCAGATGGTTTCGGATCTATGGTTTTTTTTTTTTTTTTGGTGTTCAAATGTTTATTATTTCACAGCTAGTTTATTAGTGATATATAACTAAAAGATTATACTCATTTAATTTAAAAAATTATACATTTAAGGGTAATTCCACACCAAAACAACACGTTTGCTTCTCATAAATATTTAAAAATAAAAAATTATGACTGTATGGAATAGATGCAAGGGCACTAAGCGTTAGAAGGACAAATTACAATAAAATCTCTTTAAATTAATATAAATTTACTGTACATACAATTAGGAAGCATTAAATGAAGAAAAGAAAAAATGAAATAAGATGACGAATTGGGCCTATGCTCTTATAGGGCTGTAAATCTATAAGACCAATAGTCTTGGTTCTTGTAATTTTCTATATCCATATAATTCAATTCAGATTATCACCAAAAACCACCCCTGATCCCAGAACCTGTTCAACAAGTGAGTTAAATGAAACATTTTCTTTCTTTTTTGAGGAAAGTTGCTATTTAAAGAAGCTTCAAATGCATTAGGAAGAAGAAGAAAATGGAAACACTAGTTAATGAGAGTATACATAGGAGTAGAGATTGAAAAAAAATGAAGAAAAATTGTTAACACTTTAGTTATTATCAATCATGGGCATATAAGTTTAGACACGCCTACAAAAAATGTATAGAAGTAACGGTAATGAAGAATTCGTGATGGCTCATTATAATTATTTCATAACTATATAAACCACCGGTGCGTTGTTATTATTATTATTATTATTATTATTATTATTATTATTTGTTATATTGAGTGAAAAAATGCCACATTTAGAACCTTCTTTTTCTCCTTTTAGTCATCTTTTGTGAGGAATAGAAACCGAATATAAAATGATTGGACATGACAAGTTCTATATATGCAACATCGTGGAACTCCATATGATCACAAATCATATGATATTCTGGGGTCTACAACGTATATGCTACTCGACATTGCCTTTTAGTAGTACAGATGTACAATGGAGCACAATATATTCAACAATTGATCATATTAGCCTAGAAAGAACATCATGCTAATTTTTTTTTTTTTTTTTTGAGGTGTCCTTTTATAAGGATAAATATTCGTAAGTTGTTACCATACAATTTGAAGGCACATCATAAACCCTAACACCTTCCTTCTCATCACCATTATTTACTATACTATATATGTCTAATCGACACCACCTTACAACTTATTTTTCACACTTAATTTAGCTAATTTTGTAACACAAGATCATCGATCATCCAAAATAACTCGATCATATATCTCTCTGATCATCTTAGCTTATTAATTAAAGATGATAAACCTTGGGAAACCTGCAATGAACTACGTACTTTGTGTACTTTGATCAATCAATAGTTGTTTGTTTCTCTCGTACTAAATGATCATCATTAGGGTCTTGTTTTTTTGGTGTGTGTTAAGGAAGTCTTCTTCGGCCTCCCGAACCGCTCTCCCTTTGGCAGTTGAAGTACACGGCAGCAACGGGCAAACCAAGGTTGTAAAGCTCGGCAAAGTCCCTGGTGTTGAAGTTCTGGCGCCACCCCGGCGCGTACACCGTCTGCCTCCCCAGCTGCCTGAACAGCACGAAAACAAAGCGGTGGATTCCCATGGATGGCCTTGGGCTCTCGTAACAAACGATTTCTTGACCTGAAATTGTCATGCAATTAATACAAATTAACTTGATTGATTGAATCAGAATACTAATCTCACCTCAGTATTATGTCTCAAAACAATTGTCGATTTTATGAAATATTTTAATTTAACAAAATAATTTTTTTTTTAATTTTTTATTTTGTAATCAAGGAAATTCACTATCGGAATTTATTTTCACACATGCCTTCCGTTCTTAAGTAGGGTCATAAAACACGTCTTTACCATCTCTATGCATCCTTTTCTCAACATATCAAATCATTAGAGTTATATATTCTAATTCACATTATATGAATGACAATCTCATCTTGAATATATGAGTTATAATAATACTCTACATGTCCCAAAATCATTATTCAACTTGAGTTTTCAATTATAGTACAAATTGAACAAAAAGTGAAAATTCAAACTGGAGAATATTTTTGGGACAGAGAGAGTAATTTATAAAGTTTTTTGAGCTAAGGTGCGTAGTTCTCCGACCCCCACCCCCCATAGCATTTTAGAACCGAATTGTGTCGGTTGAATGATGAATGTGCTTTTTATATAAGAAAATCACAAGATTAATTTTTATTTTTTCAAAAGTCCGAACTAAATCAATATGTCCAGACCAGAAAACATCACTCATGAGGATTGAAAAAGATTGTCTAGCATTGTCGATGGGGGCACTCAAACTGATATTTTCTCTTTCATTAAGGGGAAGAAAAAGAATACACCAATGGTATTTCAGTCTCTTCGTGTTTTCAAAAGTTAAATAACGATAACGTGATAATGTTTGTGCAAATATGGAAATGAAAGAAAAGGAGAAAAGTATAAATGATCTTGATAGAATGAGAATGAAAACCCAAACAAGGTTTATGCATGTAATTACCACGTCTGTGCCTAATTCTATAGCTAGAAGTTGACATTTACTCAATAAACGAAAAAAAAAAAAACATGTGATATTCTAAACGGATTAATTTTCTTTGTTACTTTTGTGATACACTTTTGGTTATAACTAAATAATATTTGAGTGCATTTTTGTAGCTATTAGCAGAAAATTAATGCAATGATAAGTAATCTAATGATGAGTGGTTAAACACATCTCTTGTACTCTCTCTGGTACTTAATATAACGTATAAATAACTAATTTACAAAAATTAAGGAAAAGATTCAATTAATTATTTTTGATGAATTATCTATCCATATTAAAAATGTTCCGAAACTTTTAAGAACCAAACAAATTAATGTTAAGATAATTTAGTTTGGGTATACAAGTGAAACCTTAAAAATATCAAATTTCTTACAAACAGGACCACTAGAAATCTGAAGAGATGACATGAAGGACCAGATGGGTGATTAACTAATTAATGCTTTAAGATACAAAAGAATTAACTAGATTTTTTTTTTACATAACATAAAAATTTTACTAAAAGTTCTCCCACTTTGTTTCTTTAAACAAAAAACCCTAAATATACTTCATCATGTTGAAAAGAGATCGAAATTTATGGTAGAAAGTTTTCTTTAACTTTCCAAAGAAAATATTCTGAAAATGATTGAAAGGCAATACAATGAGTGTTTCAGTGTCCTGTAATGCAAGTGCTGGAGAGTTTGGAACCCACCCAGAGGCAAAGAGATTCCAATTCATATAGAAAAAAACAAAAACAAGAAGAAAAAAGAAAAAATAAAAAGAGAGAGGAAATGAGTACTAACCGAACGTTGCCGTCGTTGTGGCTGGAATATCAGTGACCAACCTGAAATGTTTGTGAAAGCCGAATTGACGTCAAACCAAAATAAGTGAAGTCTTTGGCATTTCAAGGCTCGTTATTAATAAAATACTTATTTCCATCATTAACTGGTTTTGAGTTGGATTGGATCTACGTGAACAGCGAATATATCCATCAACATTAAACATTAAGATGAATTGTTGAGAAACCATTTGATTCGAACAGCTTCATGCTTGTCCTTTTTTTTTTTTTTTCTTTTTTTCACAAGGCCGAAAGGAGATATATTCTGCAAATACGTAAAGCAGCCATTTTGACAAAAACTTTGTGCAGCCGATTATGGTTTTAAATGGACTGGTGAGATTGCACTGGAAAAAGGACGAAATTTGATTGGAACAAATTGAAAAACAGATTCCTAGCCATAGAGATCGTTCCCAATAAACTCTATGGTATATTTGATGTATTGGACCCTTATATATCAACATCATGTTAAAATGACAAAGACTCCATCAAAGTAAAAAACATGGAAAAACTGAATTGTTCAGTGAGTGTGTGTGTGTGTGTGTGTGATAATAGTGTTTTTGGAGTCCCGTGGAATAAAATCTGAGCATATTAAACAAACGTTCGTGAAGAAAAAGGAAGATGAATTAAGGTCAATGTAGTAGTATTAGTGTTGAGCAATTATCCTCAAATTTAGTGCTTGAAGTTTGTAAATTTTTCGTCAGTAAAGTAAACAGCTAGCTGGATAAAGAATTGATGTGATGTAATAATACATGTCCATACGCATGCCTGAAATTCTAGCCTATGTCTGTCTAAATGTGTATTATTTTTCTCAGAATGGGTGAATATTTGAAACTATAAATATCACTCGACATTCCCTATATGTTAAAACGGGGAAATCTATCATTTACCGTAAATCAACCAACAAAATCATCCATCACCAAAACTTTTCATGAGGAAAACAGATGATCATCTAGTCGACGAAACAAGTAAAATTTTAACATGGACGCACATTTGGTGTAAGTGTGAGTTTACTAGTTTTTTTTTATCAGATTAACGGCACTGGTAAGGAAAAAAAATTATTAAAAATTAAAAAGAGTAGAATGAGGGGGATGATGAGAGAACGTTGGAACTTACAAAAACTACATCTATGAAAGATCTTGGCCTATTCTTCCGATTTCCGAAAGATCACATTACTAGCAGATCATCAGTCGATGAGCTAAAGGACAAGCATAATTTTATAATGCGGAATCTGACTCTGATTGTTTTCCTTTGTTTTTCTGTATATGTCCCACCGCACGAGAGAACGTACGGACTTTCATTTCAGTCAAAGGATTCATTAAAACGTTTACCGCGTTCATCACTTTAGACACAAGACCCCCCCAATATTTGTTTGGCTCTTGTGATGATGAAGAATGATGTGGCCGCGCACAACTTTCTTTTTGCTAAATTCGTATGCACGTTGCACATTTTCTCAGTCCATCATCCCCCTAATCAAAGTGTCGTATTTATTGTGTTATAACATTTTTAACGAACATGGCTAGTCTTCTTTGTTTACAGTTTTTTCTAAAGTCTTGTATAACAAGTTATTCAGTCCTTAAGGGACGTCCGGAGAGGCTTCAAAGTGAAAGAAATACAAGTGTTATAGATAGAGAGTATTAGTGGAAACAGCCTCATTTACTCTTTAAACTATTAAGGCCGCAAAGCAATATCCCCCATAACTTTTTCCTTATTCCAAAAAGAGAAAAAATTAAAAAAAAAAATTGCGTGCTCTTTTAACGAATTTATATAAGATTAATTAGTACTTTTCAATATCTATTGTTTAAGCTCAAAGATGTAGATAACTATGCGGAACGGATTAGTACTCAGATACTTATAGTGAGACTGTTCACAAACATAGATGACTCTGTAGATAAACCCGTGACTGCAATATAGATAAAAAAAAAAAAAAAAAATCCATTCTGTAATCCAAGATTACAGGAAGCAAAGATTTTTAAATCTCCCCACACATTACACACACCAGAGAAGTGAGGAAAAGGAGAAGATGAGTTTGAAATGTTTACCAGTGCAAGTACTCCCTTAGGTTAGGCTCACTGGGGCTTGGAGCATCAGGATCCACCATCACCTTTAAAAAACAAAAAAATGGACATTGAGAAAAAGTGTGTCCGCAAAAATGTGAAAATCAAAGCAGAACATCACAAAGATTAGTTTGATGGATCAATGGAACGGTGTGTTTGGGGTTTTGCTTGGTTTAAGTTTACCAGAGTGTAAAAGGTACGAAGATCATCACCACCAATGTCAACCCTAGGCTGATTCACAACCTGAGAAGGCCTAAACTCACAGCCGTTTGTCACCTCCCTGTTACCATAGCCAACGCTGAGGGTGATGGACCTTGTAAATGGATCCAAAACCTCCCCAACCACCCTTCCCACCACCAGCGGGTCCAAGTTCCTAGGCATGATATTCCCTCCACCACCTCTCCTTCTTAGCTACAGACACAGCTAGACAGCTAGCTGTTTTTGGTGTTCTCAAACCTCAAAGAACACAAAGTGGAAGAGTGTGTGTGTGTGTGTGTGTGTGTGTGTGAGAATTGTGAAGAGAGGCGTGTCGTGCATGTTGAGGGTCTTCCCCTATTTATAGTTTTCAATTTTCATGCAAAATACTACTACTACTACTAGGACTTCTACTTGTCCTATACAGTTTTGCTAATATTGATGTGATTGTGTTCTTTTGGTATCTATTTATCTTCCCATTCTTCAATCACCCACTTCCCACCCCAAGAATCTCTCCAGTTACCCAAAAACAGAAGAATCTTTCCCTTTTGATTCAACAAAGAATTTGTTTGTTTTGTTTATAATTAATCAGTGACAGTCCCATTGGCCTGCCTTGCGTATTTTGTATCACTTATTACGTATTCCCTCTATTTTTAAATTATTGTTCACTTTGAGATTTTACTATTGTTACAATTTAAACAAAAAATGAAAATCTAAACTGGATAATAATTATGGAACATGGAAAATATCAAGTTTGTCACGCGAATTAAATCAAATCAATATTCTTGAATGAAAATCTAATTTGTATAATTATTTCAAATAAAATGAGTATTTACGTCTACTAGAGTTTTCGCGAACAATGCCGTGTAATTGACAATGCGATGATACAGATGATATATATGGACCGTATGTCATCCGTTTGTTTCGTGCTTACGTAGGTTGTTCCTGAAGCACAAACCGTCATTAACCAGTAGGTTAAAGAAAAAAAAAAAAATCCACTAGGTTAATCCCGCACCGAGTGACGTGACTTTTCGGACTGTGTAAAGCAATAGAGCCAAATACCAAGGTGTGGACTGTGAACCTATAATAATTGTTAAAATATTATATTCTGAATGGTACTTCCCTGCCATGCCAACTAGCACCGGTTGGTGATTTGACTGCTCTTTCCATTATTTAGTTAAAATTTCTATTTTTAGACCAACGAACCATTTGGTTCAAATGATAAAGATATTAAATAAGACTTATTACATTCAAATTTCGAAGCAATGATTTTGAACACCGAATATGTAATATATATAATTTTTTTTATTTTTGAAAAAATCTTAAAAATTTAAATAGAAACATGGTTTTAAGACGGAAGAAAGAAGAAATCCCAAATCCTCATTTCTCAAGCCCTTCAACTCCTCTCAGCATTATCACTGTAATTGTAATAGTGTTCATATAAACGGCATATGCACACATACATATATATATCAATTTGGATGTAGTTAATGATGTATTTGAGAGCTGCCTTTGCAAATCGATTTTGAGGTAGGAACAACTGCAAATATTCAGCGATACGAATGTTGTTTTATGTTTTCTTGTGGCACTGTTTAAATCTTTGGTACGTTATCATTTATTAAGAAATGTTTAAATACTATTTTATTAAATTATCAGCAATAATTAGAAAAAAAAACTCTGTATTAAACTTGTAAAGCGGACCATCACACGAGAGTAATAGTTAAAAAAAATAAAATTAAATGACTCAGTGAGAATCGAACTCTCGACTTTCTGGTAATAATCATTACCCATTCTAATCCCCTAACCTTCCCACCTCTTACACGAGAGTAATTAACATAAAAAAAATGTAAGAGAAATGCAATCCCGATTTAGGATTTGGTTGAAGGAAATTAGGCATGACCAAGGTTCTAATTCGAACCGGAACCAAACAGGATCATAAAGTTCGGGTTCTTGAACCTTTTTAAAGATTCTAAAACCGTAACTGAACCTTATATTAATGGTTCGGTTAAAGTTTTATTAGTTTTAAAACTGTGAACCAGTGGTTCTAACTGTCAGTTTTGAATTGTATAAACCACCAGTTTAATTACCGGTTAAATCGTATTCCGGTAATTTCATCATTTTTTTTTACAAATAATTTAGGTTCAACAGACTCTCTCACCACTTTCTTCCCACAACCACAAATATGCATATTTTTTTCACTACTACATTCATAGGGTTGTTATCTCATACTGTTATTGATATAGATCAGAAAAGACAAATCCCAATTACAGTCCAAAAAAATTGCTAATATAATATTACCAATAAATCCAAATCTAATAAATAATATGTATATTTTACACCATGTAGTCTCCCTTATTTTATACATTTTACACACGGTATACATTTTCAATATATTGTTTCTCTTTTGAATCATGTATTAAATTAAGCATCGGAGTGCTGACTTCTACTTTGCAGGTTTTAGGTACTATTCTCGCTTAAATCATTAGCGATATGAGCTCTGAATATTCTTGTGAATTTCGACTTCAGCAATAACTTTTTAATTTCTTTTAGCATAATTTTTTTTTAAACATGATATATACCATCTCTTTATTTAGATAACTTTTGTCATGATTGTTAGTTGATTTGGGTAAATTTTGAGCATTGCATTCTTATGTTTCATATAGTTAAAACAATTGAGTTCCTCCACATTCCATAGCAGCTTTCAAAGAACAAAAAAAATCATTAAACAAAAGAAATTTGATTAAAAAAAAAAGTATTGTAACCAAAACCGTCACAAATTAGAACCAGAACCAAAAGCACTATAGAACCAGAATCAAACCGGAATAGAACTGAAACACTGGAACCATGATATAAAAGGGAAATTCTGATTATGGTTTTTATTTTTATGAAATCAGAACCGGTGGTTCTAGAACCAGAACTGGCGATTTCAGAACCATGGTCAAGCCTAGAAGGTATAACCAATTAGCCAAAGGAGGCAAGGAGGCAAGTACACGGGATTTAGAATGTCTCATAACCGACAAAGTCTAGTTATAATATGGGAAGAAAAAATATTTTCCTCGTCCCTGAAATGATTATCTAGTTTGAGATTTTTATTTAGTATAAATCTTGCATAATAATTTTGAGAAAAAGGACTATTTTGAATGTAAGGAGAAAATGTGGATTGAACATGGCTCTTTCTTAACAAATGAAGAGTTGGAAGGAACAAGCTACCATGGCTGCCAAGTGCCAAGAGTTCATTTTTCAGAGGCATTCTTAAAGAAAAAAAAGTTCCACTATGATGAATCGATGATCATTAGTTCGTTATTTTTATATGTTGATGGTCAAATTAGACGAAGAAGGAGGCGGGGCTGCCGGTAATATCGATTTATCTCAATTAAACTGATGTTATTGAATTATTTTAATCTAACAAGTAATATACTATATGGTTTTTCTTATTTGGGACAGACACAGTAGCATATGCAGTTTAAATTTTGTAATTTCACCAATGAAATACATCTCTCCTTTGTTTCTCCAACATAAAAAATCTTTCGTTAAAGAAAAGGTGCAAATTTATGTTGAGGCACTGACATAACTAAAATGACAATAGGCAAAAGAATTCTTTTAATTGATTGATGTGATTCTTTTACAAATTTTCGGATCAAGTCATTTTTTCACTACAATGTATATATAACAATCTATTAGTGATACAGCCAGTCATACTTTATCGTGAAATGGTGGTAAATGGTGAAATAATAAAAATCACTAAATCATGAACGACATTTATGTTTTTATACAATACAACTTATATCATTTCCTTTTCAAAAAAAAACTTATACTATCACTTATTACAATTTTCTTCATTTTTTGTTATTTTTTTAAAGAAAACTCCCACAACGATGAGCTCCACATAAATGTGAAAAAATTTCCTTTTAACGCATGGTTAGAATTAAATCTAGGTCTATCCTTAGAACACAATATCTTAACCGCTAACTTATTATCGTAATTTTACTTTTAATACAGATATACTAAAAATATAAAATTAATTTGAACAATCATTTTGAAAATGAAGTATTTTCTTTCACTATTACTGATTTTATCATTTTTCATGAAGTTCGAGTAAAATCCTTTTCGAACTCTTCCTTTTCTTTCTCTCTCTCTCTCTCTTTTTTTTTTTTTTGAAACAGCCATCTTTTTACTGAATTATTCAATGAACCTAAAGTTCATAATCATATCATGAAATATCTTCAAGCAAGAATGGGGGATGATCAAATTCAATTGAGGAGAACCATCTAATCGAAGGTTGGCGAAAAATGACACAAATATGCTCTCAAATTGGTAGTGTAAGCAGGACTATGGCTAGATTTTCGGAGGTAGAAAGAAATATGTTTCTTGCATTTGGCAAATGCGAAAAAACCAACTTCCGCGTTCAGCAAATGCGAAAATGTAGTGGATTAATTACAATGCATTAAAGACGTTGGATTAAAACTGGATAATTATAATTAATTTAATCCTTCGCATTTGGGGTATGCGAAAATCAACTTTTCGCATATGGCATATGCGAATGTATTAAATCTGTATTTAAAAATTGTTTTCTAACTTTAAATTGGTATAAAATGAAATGTTGTAAATTAAATATTTTGGTTGATAAAATGTTGTAATATTTCAACAAAAAAATACTATTTTAATTGAAAATTAAGTTTTCTAAATTTAAAGTATTCATTTGATTTAAGTAAATTTAGGTTAGTTCTAAATAGAATTGCAATCCTAAAAATTATATTTGGTGAACAGAAATCGTATAATGCATTTATAATAAAATTTGAATAAGAAGTAAATTAAAATTTCGGTGAAAAATTAGAATATAATCTTGCGTTCTGTAACCAAGTTTGCTTTTAAAAAAATTGACTTTTATTTGATTTCAATTTAAAAACTTACGATCATTAAAAATATAATGTAAAAAAATCAAGTTTATTAATTTTAGGATAATAATATTTTTTACATAATAAAACTTAGAATCAATTCATTTAAAGTAAGGAAAAAAACTAAAACTTTTAGAATCTGACATAATCAGTCCTGCTAAACTTGATAAAAACCACACTTCCTTCTAACAATGATCTTTTGGCGACCTGGAAACTTGAATTTGGCACGACGAAAAAGATAGTATTGTATAAAAGTAAGAGTTAAAAAAATTGTACATAATATTGTCTTTTTGAGAAATTTTCTTCTTTAATGTTTGCCTTTTAAATTTTTTTTTATCTTAAAGATTAAATAAAACCGAAATAAATTGTTAATGAAAATAAATGAAAGGTATTGCTTAAAACTAATAACAAAAGTCATAAAATAGCATAAAATAAAAGTACAATTCAATCTAATAGTTCTACATCTTGCGCTTTTTCTCCTGAGAATCTGTCATGCAGCACTTTTTCTTCTTTTTTATGTTCCGCTGTCCCTTACCCAAAGCAATCGGTGTAAAAGGCATGGTACCATCACTGGGGCCTTGTCCCTGATCAGCGCCCTCATAATGATCATGAGAGGAATGCTCAGCATCATCAGCATCATCATCATGCTCCCGATCCCCAATATCCTCATGATCTTGATCATCTTCCCGATTATGATGGATATCGTCACCACCTAGATGTCGACTATGATGACCACCCTCGTAACTAGTCTCAAAGAAACCCCAGCATTAGGATCTAGATTAATAAAATCTGAATCAAAATGCATTTGCTCAAAAGGAGAAGAGGGATGGTGGTGTGGCGATGCTGGACGATAAGGAGACACATGGGGGGTAGAAGATTGCCCGCCGGTATTCTGGGTGGCCACAGGTTTTCTCATTCTCCCACTCCCTAACTGGAAGCCGCCTCGGTCAGTCCTGGGAGGCCTAGGTGGGATATACTCCTGGGTTGGGTCAGCTGGAACAAAATCTTGGCTTGGGTTCTCACTATCAGCCCAAACAGATGTCTTGCTGACAGTCATTGCCTGATGTGTCAAATTGTGCAGCTGTAGAAAGGCATTGTGATTCCAAGAATCAGCTGGATTACGTTGTAGCCCATCTAGAGTAATATGCCGCATGTTTTGCACTAAATTGGCCTGAAAATTATAAAAGGAAATAAATATATATGGTAAATTAAAAAATATATAATAAATATATTTTATAAATGAACATATATATGGTAAATTAAAAATAGGAAATAACATTTTAGAAAGTTATATGTATAAAAATCATATTAATATGGGTGTGATTAAAGAAATAGTAGAACTGTAACTTACCATTATATGTAGTGACTCAGCAGATCCCTGAAAACCCTGGGGCTGACGATAGTCTGATGGATTGGTGACCAAAGTGACAGTGTGGTTTTGATACCACACTAGATATTCCGGTGCTGCCTGGGGTTCAAGAGTCATATCCGTCTGAAGACCTGCAAGGGTGTTGTGTCGATTCTCCCACCTCTGTAAGACGTCATCTCAACATTTCTTACCACGCGTCTCCTTATGCAACTTTTCTATTTCTTTTTTCTCCATGATGAAAGTGTTGTCAGGCACCCGCTGCAAGAAGCTGAACTGGCGCAACACCCTGCCTGGGATGTGTGGCTCTTGGATACCAAAATAAAGCAGCCAAGTCTGGGACATCCATATGGCGGAGCCGGCAGAGCAAGATGGATCAATGTCTGCTAGAATAGCAGGAGAATACGGCATCCAAACAAATTGTAGAGGGACAGATAATACAAAAAATTTATGTGAATATATAAGAAAAAAAATAGATTGATTTATACGTTATGATGGTTCAAATAAAAAATACTTACATTATGTTCTTGCAAAACCGCAAGCTGGTCTCGATAGGCGGTTAGATTAAATCGTGTGATGTCTCCCACTTTTTTAGGACGGTTCCACCTACAAAAAAATATAGTTTTGATTGAAAAAACGGAAAGAAATTATTAAAAAATATAACTAATTAAGATAATTATTGAATAGTTGAAAATTAATTACCTCCTGCCCAAGGGACACCCCTGAAGATCTGGTACGGGCCCACGTAACTCCGGACGGAAAGTCAATATCCGCTCTCAAGCCCATAACTATTTTGCAATAAAATAATACGTGAAATTAAAAATACAAATACAATAATTAAAAAACTAAAAATAAAATACAATTATAAATATTAGGATTCTAACAAAAAATTACAAATAAGGAAAATAAAAATAAATCGAAAAAAATTAAAATAAAATGAATAAAAAATGAACAATCAAATACAAATACAAGGGCGGTTTGAAATTACCTGTAAGAGTAGTAAGCAACCACAAATACCCTGTCCAGACAATGTGATCACTGAGGAAGTGCATAGATTTCGGTACAACCACGCCAGTGTAGCACTACCCCAACTAAACTCCCGAAATGTATTTGGGTCCTCCAAATACCCCACCAGGCCCAGGGGAAAACTGTTTCTGCTGCTATCAGGAAACAATAACCCTCCTAAAATCCATCCGACAAAACAACGTGCCCGCTGAAGGTACATATCCTCTGTAGCATCTCCGGGTAGCAGATTAGTCATAATGTGTCTCTTTATATCTCGTGATGTTTACTACCTTATCTTTCGTGGCCTTAGGACGCCGTCGGAATCCAAACAGACTCTCTAAATAATCGGCCCACTCCACATCCTGCGGAGGTACTGTCCCCGAACCACCGCATGGCCATCAACCCGTGACCCGAAGGACCTCGACATCCCGTAGTCGTCGCCTCTCCGACAGCAAGTGAAATGAATGGGTCTCAGCCGCCATCGCTTAACTAAGGCCGTAATGAGGGCCCAATCTAACTTAATAGAACCAATTCAAAAAGAGGCCCTGCACTGGACTTTGCTATTTGGGCATGTATCTGTGGGGCAGCCTTGTCTAGTTCAGGCCATAGGTCAGTATCCACTCGGTATGCGGAAAGTTCTTTCAAATAAGCCGTATTACCCCTAAATGTATGGAATGACCTATGATCATCATGAAGGACCAATAAACTCTTATCTATAGGATCCTGCTGGAGGTCATATTGTCTAGACTGCGAAGACGATGATGATCCCGTCTCCATACCCTAAATAAAAATAATACAAACAAATACAAATACACTAAATAAATATAATACAAAATAATACAAACAAATACAAATACACTAGATAAATATAATACAAACAAATACAAATACACTAAATAAATATAATACAAAATAATACAAATACCCTAAATAAATATAATACAAACTAATACAAATACACTAAATAAATATAATACAAAATAATACAAACTAATACAAATACCCTAAATAAATATAATACAAACTAATACAAATACCCTAAATAAATATAATACAAACTAATACAAATACACTAAATAAATATAATACAAAATAATACAGCGACACCATTCTCCAAGTATTTGTGTCTTTTTGCAGGGTAGCTCGACATTTCCACAAGCAAGTAGTGCCGTGGAGAAGTTCTTCTGGGTACTTCGGCCCTTTCGTCTCGCATTCAGCGGCCCACGTATAGGGACGGCTATATTTTACCCGACATGCCCGACCCTGTCGCAATGTCCATTCCCCCATAGCTGTTTGTACCTCTTTCTTGTTAGCAAAATGTACACCATGTCTAACCGTCTGCCAATTACCGTCCCACATTGTGATCCCATCAGAATCCTCATCCAGTTCAGACTTGTCCATGTCACTGATGTCGTCAAAAATAGAAATTACTACTAAAGATGCGTCATGGTCACTGTAATCATCATCAGACTCATCGGACGGCACATACTCCTCGTCACTGTTCCCATGTACGTCATCTTCTGTGTCATCGTCATCTTCATTGGTACCACCAACACCACTACTCCTGCACCATCATCTCGACCACCGGTAGTTCCTTCCTCAACATCTTGAACAGGTTCATCTGCAACCTCTACGTACAATGCTGGACGCAAATGGGCACCTCGGTAAATCCATGACATTGACTCGTCGTCTCTTATGGGCGCTTGCCCCCTTCTGCCGTACTCATCTGTGCAGACTAAAACATATTGCAGAGGAAGTATTTGTTGGTTCTCAGATTCTAACAGCCTGTGTACATAATTATCAAGTTCAGAGAAACTCCACAATCGATCGATACGAACTGTTGCATCGGCCGTAAATAACTTCTCCCCATAACCCCAACATGATCGATCACTAGACCAGAATATATTCAGATCGAAGGGACCCGGAAAAGACATATTAAGGGCCTGCACATTTAATTTTTATTCAATTAAACATACAAATACATCAATTCATGCTTGTTATAACAATATTTTACCTCACTAGCAGTAATTTACTCCAAAAACTAACAATAAGTCCTATCTTTAGTGAAAAATCTCTAACATAATTTAATAATTCAAAAAATATAATTCGACATCTATATAACAAGGTTTTCAATTAAAAGAATAACAATTTTTTATCAAACTAATAAATTTAGATTTACACAATGTATTTGATAAAATATAAAATTAACAGAATAAAAACAAATAAAACAGGGTCAAATCAATAACATTACAAATAATTGGGTCAGAATATAAAATTCACAAAATTGAGGTATAAAGACCAAAATTCGAGATCAACCGGGTTATTCTCAAAATTAATAAAATAACTCATAATATTCAACAAAATTCAACAATTCACATTATAAAAATAATTTTTATTCTTCATTCTACATCAAATATATATTTATTGAAGCAAATTTTCTAAAAACAATTCTCAATAACTACTGAAATTATTAAATTTAGTAATTTCGTACACTACAACAAGATTAATAGCCCCAAATGACAATAGAATGTATAAATTTTACAAATTTCATAGAGAAAAAAAACTTATCTAAATGGGTTGCCTCTGTCTTACTCCCGTTCAGTCCAACCATCCAACCTTCAATATGAAAAATGCCTTTTTCCTGCTCCGCCTCTTCCACCGGAATGAAAATTTCAACTGAATGCAAGAAGAATTGATGGTTTTTAGTTCTGCCGAATTGGGGGTGATGAGTTTTAAATTATGAGTCTAGCCATCACATTCGCATTCGCCAAATGCGAATATTTATCCAAATTGTCAGCAATTGCCACGTGTCGATAAGCTATTGACCAGTCAGATTTTAATAGGATAAAAAGATAATTTCGTTTTTTTTTACCTATATTTTTGTGTTCGCATTCGTTGAATGCGAAAGTCTTATGATGGCCCACATTTTCTTCTTTCCTTTCTCTGTCCGCTTTAATTTATTCAGATTATTATCTTCGCATTCGGCATATGCGAAATTTGGGTGATGGCCCACTTTGAATTATCTCATTTGTTGATATTATTTGTTTAAGTTTAACTAATTAATTACGTAAGGTTGTTCGCATATGGTAAATGCGAATATCAGTTTCTTCGCATATCACAAATGCGAGAAATTCATAAATTTCTACCCCTCCAACCTTAAGAACACTTTTTTCTACCAACTAAAAATTTGGGTACACTGAACTCACGGACCCCGAAGGTTGGGAACCTAGATTCCATAGGTACGGGCTACGAAATGGGTTTCGAGCCTGAATGTAATTGGGTAACAAGATATATACAAATTCCAGTACTAGGAAAACATAGATGGACAGGTGGATTGTTTACACTAATTGGTTTGGTAATAAATCCAACTCAGCAAAGAAAAAGCAAATCGGACAACATTTTGCTTTTCTGGCTATTTGAGAATGTTCCGTTCGTTAAAGAAAATTACTTTGTTAAAACTAATCCATTTTGTAACAAAGGCTTCTTTCTTTCTTTCTTTTTTTTTGGGGACACATCTAGGAAATACTTTATTAGGCAAATCATTCCCCACTAATAAAAAGAAGCTTCGTATCTAAGATCTCGAATATAAAGCAATAGTTCAGAATTTTTTTTGTTTTTTCTAGAGCAATTCACCAAGATCAAAGTAAGGATTTGAGTAGAAGTAGTACGAGTGTGGTACGAGTGTGGTAAGGATTTGAACAGATTGCAATATATTTAGTACCATTTAAACTAAAAATAAAAATATAACTTGGACACATATTTCACAATAGAGGGAGTATTTGTCGATTTTTTTGGTTTTGAGAAAGATTTGAAACAATAGGTGGTGGGAGGGTTGGGTGGAGTGGTTAGGGGATTAGGATGAGAGATGGTTATTATCAGAATGTCGAGGGTTCGATTCTCGCTGGGGTCATTTAATTTTTTTTTTTTTAAAAAGATCTGAAATAATTTTGACAACATTTAGAACAAATTTTTTTACATTTAACATAAGTTTTTTCCTTTGTCATATCAAAGATAAAAAAAAGTAACATAATCATATTGTTTTTCCTCCATCATCAACCAAAATACTAGGATGGCAATTGAATTAAAGCTCTTCTTTTTAATTATTTTTCATCTCCTTGCGAATTGAGATTTAAAAATAACAAAATTAAGAACTTCTCAGGAAATTTTTAACCCCGATTTCAATCCATTCCACAATAAACATTAATCAAAGGCTTTTTAAATTTTTTTTTTTAGATAGAGGTCTATCTAAGAATTACTTTCGTCATAAATTCGAACAAACTAAACAATGTCCTTGCTCAATTCTATTATAAACATAAAATTTGAGACATTAAATTTGATTTGTTTTCAACATAATAAATGTTAGTTAATTACATTGGATGAACTAGCTGATTTGCTAAGAATAGCCCGATAGTTGTACTCTACGGAAACACTTAAACTATATTTATCATATACATTTAAATGGTTTCCAATAAAATACTTTATGAATAAAGTTATGCTCCTTCTGTCTCAAAATTATTGTGCAATTTATATTTTCGGTTGTAATACAATTTAAACTAAAAATAAAAATCCAAACTGGACAATAATTTTGGGACAGAGGGAGTAATTTTTTTCTTCAAAAAGGAATACTCCCTCCGTCCCTAAAAAATAATTCACTTTTTAGAAATTAAACAGCACAAAAAAGTGAATTTTTTTGAGACAAAAAGAATATAAATTATGATCCCTGGATTTTATTCTGGAAAGGGGGTATCATATTGTGATGTTTCTTGTATGATTACACGTAAAAGTTATGATATGTAACTTTCTAACAGAAGGAATTTGGTTTTCTTAGTACATGTCGCAAGTAAGCAACTGAAAATCCTTTGTGGCCAGAAAAAAATTACATATAATAGTTGTTGTATCCCATTCCCCCTTTATTTCATCATCCAAAAAAGTAGCTAAAAAAGTTACTTTACATCGATTCCATTTTCTATATCCAGGAAGAAAAAAGGGAACTTACTGCTAATTGAAAACCTTCATAGGTTCTTCCTGTTGTAAACATAAATTAAACTGAATTTTTATTTCGGTTTTAATTTCTAAGATTTATTCCGTTAAGGTTAATAATCACTTTCCATTTTGAGTGGAATTCATCGGAATGAAGAATTCTTTTATATCACCATCGCACAAAAAGAGGAAAGAGGTTCTACTTTACAATGATTCTGTTAATTTCCAGATGAAGAAAGACAACGGATATGAAAAGGCGAAGTTGATCTTTTGTTCCGTGGAGGTGCAAAACTTTCGTCGGGATAATAAAGTCGAGAAAAAAGCCGGCGCACATGTTTTGCAATTTTAAAGTCGATATAAATATTTCTTGCAATTTTCGCTTACTTCAACTTTATCACCCAGTCATAAAATAGTTTTCTTTTCTGTTTTATTTGAAGTATAACTGGAGTTTTTCATTATGTACGTGTTATTTAAGTTGATCCAAGGAATTTAAAGAAAGAGTTTAAGTGAATGATAACATGACAATTTTGCTTACATCAGTACTTGTTGGGTTAAATCAATGTAAATGTTTGGAATAAAACTTTGCAACTGCTATCTTCATTGTTGGGCTATGAAAGTCGACAAAATATTTTCAAGGGAATTGTGACTTCGTCGGATTCCACGTCGGTTATTAAAGTTGATGAAACAATACGCCACAATTTGAAGAAAAATTTGACCTGGTCGATGTTACCGTGGCATTAGAAACGTCGACTTAGTCGACGCAAACGTTTTTTTGCATACTTTGCTTATCATCGTTTATAAAAGTCGACGAGAAAATGCCAATATCTTCACGAGAATTTAGCTTTTTCGGCTCGAAGCAGTCAACACAATTGTTACCTAGCAACTTTTACTTGCATCGACTTTATTATCAAATTAGAAAAGGAGGCAAAAATGTCGAAGCGAATGTTTTTAAAAGAATTTTGTTTCGTTGACTTTAAAAAAATTGACTGAAAGTTGACACGAGTGTTTTTAAGCCAGTTTCTCTTTATTGACTTTATCAATGAGTTAGAAAATTGACGAAAAAATCGAAGTGAATGTCTTTAATAGATTTTGGCTTTCTCGGCTTTACCATCTGGTGTGGTAACTGGTAAGTCAGCCCAAAATGTTTACATGACTTTAACATATTATTAGGGGCTTAAACAAGCTAACATGGGAGATGAGATATAAAAGTAGATATGAATTTATTACAGAATTTTGCATAATGTAGATTTACTCATGAAAGAAAAAAAATCCACAGTAAAGTCAATGTGAGAGTTTAACTAGAGAATTTTCCAAACCGTTGGCTATAGAAGCCCATGGGATACCAAACCTCATAGACTTATTCATAGACTTATATATTGATAACAAACCTCTCTCACCACCAACCTGAGATACTCAACATTGGCATTATAGTCAGCTTTAGGAAATCGAAAAAAGGAGTAGAACTGAATGATCGCGCATGACAAAATTTTCTCTTGCACAAATTTACTTGCTTGCGTTAGTTTTTCGTCTCCCGGTTTGCTTAAAGATAAATATACAATTTTATCTAAATCCGTTTATTTTCTCATCTCTCTACTTGTTTGTTTGGTCACTAAAGGAACTCATACATTGCATTTGCAATGTACAGGAAAGCCCGAAGTGAAATATAATTATAAGATTAATTATATGCCATTCAATTTGTTTTCCGAACAGTGATCAAGCTGTATTCTAATCATTTCCTGGTCCAATTAAAAAATATGGTGGCAAACCCTGTTTTCGATGTGAAGGATTCAGTTATATTTGATCTTTGATTTCAAGGGGAGTGGATAGTAACTATCAATGCAACATGATTTAACTATGATTTCACAACGAAAATAATAATTACAATATAATTGTAACATGTGATAATTTGAAATTATTTTTTGATATTGTCAATCATGTCTAGACTATTTATAGT